AAATCTGGAAATTACTAGCAGACACACATCGGCTATGTACGTCTTTCGGCTTTTCCTTCATGAGTGAAAAGTAATCATCCAGAAGAATAATGTTCTTTCCTTCCTGCGTCTTTGCTATGAAGCGACCATCCTCTTCAATGATCTTGAAAAAAACTCGTTTACAGACAGAAGGTAGAAGCAGACCTTAATATTCTGAGCAAAAAACAGATTGCAAGGACGGTATCTGGTATGAGCTCGTACATTAGTGGCCTAAGATGTATGATTGCTAAGTTCAGAATACAGGCTCACTCACAGAGAACGCAACAAATCTGTTGGGACAATTGATCGCTACTGCTTTGAAGGATATTGGTTGAAGAGGTACAAAGATCTTAAACAGTTCTGTATGACTAGTAAGGAGTGAAAGGAACAAACTTCATTCAAGTCTTTCTTCGCGTTTTCTCCTTTCACATGTAGTATGACACCTACATGACAATGCCATAAGTACATAAAATTAGGATAAACTTCAAGAACCAGTCCTGAGCCTGCAACTGACAAAATGGTAAAGTTAAGGATAATGGAATGACCTGAGAACTTGGCTATTATCCTGCCATTATCTCGACATTCTTTCTCATTTCCAAGTTCTGCTTTCACATTTTGAACCTCGGAAGCGGCCACAAAGCATCCGTCCGTTCTTCCTATTTGGGTCTTAACATCTTCATTGACTATGTAAACACGTCGAACTTACAGAACCGCACTCATTACTCTCAATAACAGGAGCGGTGGGATCCCAATAACAGTCGAAACGAAACCATTTGCCAACGGGATCGGGATAAACATTCTTTTCCACTGTAACGTTTCCTAACTCTTTACAGAAAATATAGCCTAGCCCATTTCCTGAACAGAAAGACATGAGGAATCAAACGTATTATGTTACCTCGACTGAACCCATAATCAACTTCAAGGAAAACTCCGTTCATATTCTTTATGGTTCCCATGTTGATACTGTTTCACCTCAAAATCGAACAAGGGTACTCTGACACTTTCAAAAGAAACAGTAAACTACCTGTGTCAAATCAAATCAAACTTGTTTCGTATAAAGCTGTTTTCTCTTTGTCATTCAGTTTCTATACACTTTCAATAATAATTAAAAAAGCTTCTTCTTCTCACAACATGAAGAATGTTGCATAGCTGTGCAGTTGGGCGTCAAGTTTTTGAATGAAACTTCCTCAGCAAGCATTACACGCAATTTTGCGTACATCAGCCAAAAAAATGAGCTTATAACCTTATATGGAGTGTTTGTTGTAAATTATTATTCTCCTAATCACTGATTTTGCGAGACATCAGCTAAGACGCACAATACCACTGTGGTCATTCAGTTTTTATTGAACTTTTGTCCCACATGGCGAAACGTGTGAACGATATACGACTTCATCCGTCAGGTAAGTACTTCTACTTAGTTCTAAGCTTGGTTCAAACGTTTACCAACACATAAGACTCATTTCAGGATCTAATGAAGGCAGAGAAGACTTCATTGGTTTCCGAAACTGTTTTGCAGATGATGATGATGATGATGATGATGATGAGGGCATCAACAAGAAACAAAAAGTAGAGGAAGAGAAAGAAGACAGTGATGTCGACGATTATCTGTCCGAAGCATTTGTTGTACAAGCAGAATCTGTACGTCCTGGTAGGTCTTATGTCCACAATTCAACATTTCATTGTTTTCAGGAATGTCCTCTTCACGAAACTATCGTCGGGAGATTATAAACAACCAGAAACGGGAGAAGAACGAAAGTGAGCATGTCAAGCAAATGCCCAAACACGAAAGAGGTTTGAACCTCTTAACAACTGTGTTATTTGTTTTCAAGAAAAGGTGAAGTTGGAAGAAGGATTACAAAAGCCCCTAGATCCCTCCTCTAAAGGTTTCTCTTTGATGGCTCGAATGGGTTACAAACCAGGAATGAGTTTGGGAAAGAAGAAAGATGGTATCAGATTGATTGCGTTCGTTTGTTGATTTCGTGGTGTTCAGAGAATGATATGGGCAGTGGAATCAAAGAACCTGTGCCCCTGTTACTCAAACAAAATAGGGAAGGATTAGGAATTATGGCGGAACGGAAGGCGAGGTTCCAAAAGGAGATTGAAAAAATGAGATCTGCGGTAAATTTCCTCTTCGTGCTCCAAATACTTTCTTTTCAGAGTAAAAATATCGGGGAGAGTATAGAAGACTACCGGAAGAGGAAGCATGAAGGATACTTATCCAGAAATTGGATCAAAGACCTCAAAAAGTTCCAGACTGTATGTCAGAACTTAGATGCTCAAAGAGATTTGAGCTCCCCCCTCGTACCATGGTTTTGGAAGAGCTTCCCAAAAGAAGTCAAAAATGAAGAAAGTTATGAGTCTGAAATCAAGTGAGTACTTTGCAGTTAGGTTATCGCATCCCATTCCCATTTCAGGTATTTCTACCGAAACGGTAAGGAAGGTCCCCCAACCTTGGAATACGAACTGTTATCTCTGGATGAGATGAAGACAATGTGATTTGTTTGATTTCTAATAGCATATGAATAAGATATTTGCAGGTACGATGAGATCAATGAGTACTTGAGACAAACTTATTTCTACTGCATGTGGTGTTGTATGGCTTATGAGGAGGAGGAACTATTGAAATCACATTGTCCTGGTACTGAAAGGGAAGCTCACCCTGATTATGAAGACGATTGAAAATGAAATGAATAAATTATCTGATTGTTGTCGTTCACAAAAGAATATCAGTTTTCCAAAAGTACTTGAAGTCATTGATACAGACTTATAAACACATAAGATATAGATGGCAGACAAATCCACAAAAGTCCTTTGCTGTGGTGATGTCAATGGCAAGTTCCAACAGCTCATTAAGAAAGTTACCGCAGTCAACAACAAGGTTTTTCCCTTCTTTCTTCATTTTCAACTAGTCTTCTAGAATGGCCCTTTCGATATTCTTCTCTGTGTAGGTGAGTTCTTCGGCTTAGACCAAGAGGCCAATGAGGAAGTTGTCAATGGCGTCATTGACTTCCCGATACCCACTTACGTATTAGGTAAGCTTTCTCAGTTGTATCCTGATCTCATTCTGATCTGATTAAGGCCCTTGTCGGCAAGAGACTTGTTACATCTATCCTGAAGAATCGGTTGAATTCTCGTCCAGTTTGACCTTCTTGGGAAAACGCGGAATACTCAACACTGCCTCGGGTTGTTCCTCCTTCATCTGATTTCAATTGACTCCTCTTATTTCTAGGATTACAAATAGCCTATCTGAGTGGTGTTGAAGGACGAGAGGGACTCAACTATCAGTTCTCCAAGTCTGAAGTTCAGGTACTCCACTGTCTGATTCACTAATTCAGAATAAATCTTTAGGACTTGTTGATTCCTGTTAAAACACAGTCAGGATTTTTAGGTGTCGATATTTTGTTAACTTCGGTTTGGCCAGAGGGAGTAAGTCTTGTCAGTCGTATGCATTCATATCTGTTTAAGGTTGCAACTCATGCTCACAACACACCAAGCAAGCCTGTTGAAGGATCGAAGTTAATCTCAAGGCTCGCAACAGCCTTGAAACCTCGATATCACTTTGCTGGTAATGGCATTCACTATGAGAGGCAACCTTATCGGTAAATGTCTTCATAGCTTATGTTTCAATCTTTGTTTTCCAGAAACCACAGAGTACTACTTGAGGCTGCTCAACATTGTACGAGGTATATTGGCCTCGCTGACGTCGGAAATGCTGAGAATCAGAAGTGGATTTATGCCTTCAGTTTGAAAGTCAGTCTATCAAGCCTATGATGTTATGTTTCATTATTTTCAGCCTATGAAAAGATTGTCAAGAGAAGAGTTGACTATGCAACCTCCCAACTCATCTGAATTCCCGTATATGGATCTTTTGACAGAGATGCTAGAAGAGTGGGATGCTTGAACCAAATTGTTTTTTACATCACGCATATTAAAGAGACGCTGCTGAAGCTCGAGTGAAAGCTTCGACTCAAGGATCAGCTCAATTTCGTTTCGACATGACTGAGGAAGTTGATGATCCAGTTGATCGAGGAGGTCGTAAAAGAAGAGGAAGAGGTTTGAACAAAAACAGCATAAATCTTTTTTTACGGCAATTTCAGATGGAGGTCCCTCTGAAAGAAAACAACCAACAGGCCCTTGTTGGTTCTGTTTATCAAATAACGACGCTGAGAAGCATCTTGTTGTCTCAGTAGGTGACACGTGCTATGTCGCAATGCCCAAAGGACCTTTGGTTGAAGACCATGTCATGATATTAACCATAGGTGTGTTTGAAATCAACTACTCAATCTAAGTTTCATAGGACATATACAATCACTCATCGCTGCATCAGAAGAAGTCCAAGCTGAAGTAGAGAAGTTTAAAAATGCTTTCATACTGATGGCTGATAAAGTAAAACGCGCCCTTTCATCAACAACTATTCTCTCTCGTTACAGGCCGGGAAAGCTCTAGTTGCCTTCGAAAGGAACTACTGCTCTCAACATTTGCAAATTCAACTTGTTCCCGTTCCAAAATCGTCAGTGAAAGCATTGCGGGGGGCATTTATGAATGCTGCGAGTATAGCAGGTTTCGAGCTCACTCATGTCTCCGATAATGATAGAGTCAGTTTCTGCTCCTCATCAAAAGCAGCTCCTATCGCATCTTTCAGATAACTGACATCGTGAATGAAGGCTGTCCCTACTTCTTCGTCGAATTACCTGATGGCTCTCGTCTCTTCACTCGCCAGATGAAGAACTTCCCGTTACAGTTTGGCCGCGAGGTGAAGAAGGAATATCAGTCGAGTAAAACTTCTTTTGATTCAGGTCTTGGCTGGAAGTGCTGTGCTCGACTGCGAAGATAAGATAGATTGGAGAGCTGCTGTACTGGACAAGGAAAACGAAACGAAGTTGACAAAGAAGTTACAAGAACGTTTCAAGCCATTCGATTTCACTGCTGATGATGACAGTGACTAAGCAATTGTTTTTCTCTGTATATCGATCTCATTTGATTGTTGTAGATCAAAACGTTTGTTGAATATAAAATTGAAAATAAAATCTTTTTATTAAAATAGAGCAAATGATATGATTCTGTCGATGATGTCAATCTTATAATAATATAATATATAAATCTATAAGGTAGAAACACATTATTAACGTTTCAAATATCTCTTATTGAGAATGAAATACCCGGAAATGGCTTAAGGAACTCAAAAGGTAAAGTAGATTATAGAGTGAATGAACAAACTTATCGACCATGTCGTTGTTTTAATATCTGAGTTTTCCTATTATAGTACTTTTCTGGGATAGGGAGGAGAGGGCGGCAGCGATGCATGATGAAATCTTCTCCTTTACAAGTTATCGACAGTATTAAATCGTTTCATTTCGTTATTAGCTCTGTTCATTCCTTGACTAACATCAGAAAATGATATGTGATCTTGCCTATTCTGAAAACAATCTTCTTTAATTATAGCTTATACTATGCTTTTTCTTTTTCAAATTGCTTTTCATATGTATGTGCAAACGAGTAACGCCCCTCCGGGCACACACAGTTTGCTAGGAGTTTTTTGTGAAATCAACCGGTCTGTACGTCTGTTACGTTGCGAATGACGTCAAAGCGATCGCATGACTATCGCCACTCGAAATTTGCGTAATGCTGACGTGGAGGAAATCTAATTTCCACGTGAAGCTTCCGTGAAGGCTCATTCAGAATATTAAGCTGATCATTTGAACTCACACCAATATTGCGTGGTCTATTTCTTCTTAACCGTTTAACTTCTTCTTGGAATCCTTCTTTCACTTGCTCAACAACGAAGAGAACAATCTTTGTCCAAGCCATTTGAGTGACCTGCAAATGAATGATATATGTAACATGAGCAAGCTATATCTATAAAACCTCAGTTCGATCTTTCTTCTCTCCCCATTCTAATGTACGCTCAATCATAGCTGATGCAAACTGATCTAGTTGAGCTGCCCTAAATGGACATCCATCTGAAAGAAAGAGAGAAGGTTAATAAAACGTGAAGCTCATTATAGATAGTATACATTGGTCCCTAGTAGTAAATACGTGTTTTTCTCCAGCATCCCTCAATTCAGCCATTGTTGCTGTTGGGCTGTCCAAATTCCCTATTAGATCGTCCATCATTTGAGTAAAAAGCTGAGCATGTTTCTTAAAACCAAATTAGGAGTAACTCTCTCTCTTCCAAATGTCGTCAGTCTTACTTTTAACCGCTCATGTCCCGTGTTTTTGGTTCCGTGCATCATTATTGTTCGTATTTCGGGATTTTTGAAGAAGGAATTTCTTGAATAGATAGAGAGAGAGATGTAAATAAAATTTTCTTTTAATTCAAACCTGAAAATACTTATGGCAGGCTCTAAGGCTCCTTGGTTTCGAGCGTGAGCCCATGTCTTGCGTACCAACAGAATCTGTGCTGGTGTTAAACAAAGTGAACTAACAAGAGGTCCTGTATTAGGAAGAGCTAAAAATAGATTTAATATATATATAATAAAGGTATTTGTTGTAATATGCTTACGATTAGAGCTTGACGAAGAAGCTTTGTCTTTAAGCTGGATATTTCGATTAACCGCCCCACCATTTTTGGAACTCTTGGTTGATGAGCTTTTTGTAACAGCTGAAACATAAGAACACGAGTTTTCAATATTGTATAAGCTGACAGACATTTGTCGTGAGTGCACGTTTTGCTTTTCTCCGTTTTTTCTTTTTCAATTTCTGACGGTGAGCTTGTGATGCCAGTACTTTGAGTTCTTTGTACAGACATTCTGAAAAAACAAATCAAAAGCGATATTGTTATGAAAAGAAAGAGTTGCATGAAAGGAAATATGTAAAAGGAACGTACTGACTACGAGGAGTTACAGCGTCAGCAAAACTGGATGCTCGCGATCTAGCAGGAGAGGCTTCACTTGATGAGTTTTCCTTTGAATCGTCTGAAAGATGCTATCATATGCTCATATATGGGAAAATTGCCGTCACTACACATTAAATGAGCAAATTGAAGAAAAATCTCATATTCAACAAAAAGACTTTTGAAAGAGAAAATTTTTGATTGAAAAATCAGACAAGCGAATTGTCTCTTCAATGTGCTTTTGACGTTGAATGAGCGAACACATAGGGGGTAGAAAGAGACAGAGGGAGAAAGAGAGAGATAGGTAGATGAAAAGAGGAGATGATGAATGAAGTAGAAAAGGATTTCTATTATTTCAATTGATAGAAAAGAGTTCGAAAGATGGATTGGTTGATCTTCAATGATAGTTGTTAATGACCATATTCGGGCATAGCTCTTCTCAAACTCATTTGAGGGGGAGATGAAGATGTAACACATGATGTAAGATGTTGCTCTCTATCTATCCTTCTACTGTGGACAGAAAAAAAAGAGTAAAATGAAAATAAAAAATTCAAAATGAATAACGATATGCATAAGATGGTGGGAAAGGGAAAGTTCAAAAAAGGAGGAAAAATGGTTTTGAATGATGAAAGTTGATGAGAGATGAAGAGAAAGAGAGAAGGGAGAGAAACATGTACAGATATTACAGAGAGGGAATTGAAAAGATAGTGAGAACTTACCAGTGTTTTGATCTCCAAGTTGTTGTTCAGAAGCTGAGGAATACGACTCACACGATGAAATGGCATCGGCTTTTTTAACTGCAAATTCAATTATTAAGATTAATTGTCTTTGTAAGCATTCATTCAGAGGCAAAGTTATTCTCGTCAAGAAGACGAGTTCATCCATCATTTATTCATTTGAATAGAGGAGAATCGGAAGAATGGTTTGTTGAGATTGCATGGATGGATGGACAACTAGCTTATTCATGTTCATTCCAGGTATTATTCCCTTTTTCGGTCATCTGTTTCAATATCATCTTCCGGGTTGGCATCCTTCTCCATGTCCCCCCCCCCTCCATATCTCATTCAAATTACATGGCTCACAAGAAGAATAGTTCTCAAAAGATTGATAATGTTGTTGGATATGAAAGACGTAGCTTTTTCTCTCTCTTTCTCTCTCCCTCCCTCCTTCCCTCTCTCTCTCCCTCTTTCTTCTTCCTCCTTCTTGTTCCAAACTCTTTCAAGGCGGAACTTTTCCTTCTTTAGAGGCTAATCGTTTTTTTTTCTTTTCAGAAATAACGTTTAATACTTCCAATATTTGTGGCTCAATAGGCAAATAATCTTTGACGAAACGAACACCTCGTAGATATGAACAGAAGTGAAGGAAAATCCAAATTACGAAGAAGGAGGGAGGATAGGGTGAAGAGAGAATAGAGAAGCAGAAAGCTTTTTGTAATATTGGAGGTGTGGTTGGATGGAAGAGACAACAAGCTTGTAACATTAGGATACATTGAGACTTACGGTATTCATCATTATGCTTTCCAGGTAGAGCGGAAATAGATCTAGGAATGGCATTCTCTTCTATTTTGACAATTTGATGAGAACGCGATGATACGACACCTCGAACAACCTGTTGGCGTCCTTTACCACCAGACTGGCTGTTACCCATTCTGAAATTAATTTTTGATAAGGAAAATAGCCTTTTGATTCCGTTGCTTCAATATGAGAGAGGGAGAGTGTGAGTCATTGCGAAAGATAGAGAGAGAGAGAGAGAGAGAGAAAGAGATCGAGTAAGAGGGTGACAGAGAAAGAGAGGGCTCTAAGCACAAGAGGTTTCCATTCGTTCCCATATATATTCTTATATTTATGAAATATTTCAAATGAATGTTTCTATTTTTCAAAGAGGACACAGGGTATTGGGAAACACCACCGCACATAGCTTCTTCAATCTCAAGAGCTTCTGGCTGGCTGGCTGGTTGAATGGCTGGATGGCTCTACGCTCTAAAAACACAGAACAAACAGAGGCAATGGCAAAGTTGTCGTGACATTTATCTAAATAAAGCTCAAAAACGTTTGGCACACTTCCCATTGAAGGGGAATAGGAAATAAGCTTATAAATGAAATAAAGAGGAAGAGAGAGAGAGAGAGAGAGACAGAGAGATAATGAGTTCTGTAAGGGTAGAGTGTTACATCTAGAGAATGATGCTTCGAGGTATGGAAAAGCTAAAGAGCCATAGATCTCGTGAACGTGAACTCCTAGTTCAATCTTTTCTTAGCTTACTTCTTTCCGCTAAATTCATCTGTCACCCAATTTCAGGCATGAAAAGCAGCGATTTATCTTTTCATTTAGCGGAAATTTTGTTTAAAAAGCTCTTGGTGTGTATCTAGACAAGCAGAATTGAAGCATTTCAGTGTTTGACACAACTAGACACACACACACACACACTCACTCACTCACTCACTCACTCACATACACATACATCTATATGTATGTATGTATATACATCTATATTTATATATTATATGTATATATATAAAGATATATAATTAACGACAATTAATTAGAGTTGACGATTTGAACAAGATCAGATTGCCATGAGATGAAAGAATGAGGAGATGAGAGATGAGAAGCAGCACACTCACACACCAACACAACCGTTCATTACAATGCAAAAGCTTCGAATCATGCTTTCCACGTCATTCTCACGTAATAATCCGTGAAATATTCTAATTCATTGATTAAATAGTTATGGAAAAAAAGATGAAGAAGAAAAGACTAATCAGATATTCGAATAAAACGACAACGACGACGATGATGAGAGAGAGACAGAGAGATAGAGATGTAGGTGTAGAGATAGAGAGTATTGTAGAGAGGTATATATAAAGAGGTAAGAGAGAGAGAGAGAGAAAAATAGAAAGAGAGAGAGAGAGATTCTGCATGAATTTATAAACATCTTCATTTTGGAAGCTTTTTGTGAAAATTCAGAAATGAAAAGTGTGAGTGTGAGAAACAGATGAAAAATGAAATACCGAGTAGAGTACCCAAATAGGAAGGTTGTAGTCAGTGAGATGAACGTTCACTCATACAAGTACAACAAATAAGGAATTTATAGTTAGTTTGAGATACACCTACAGAGGGTAATAGCAACATAGAGAGAGAGAGAGAGATAGAGATAGAGATGGATGTTGCAGGAAGGAGATTTCTTGTTAATAGCAACCTCCTTTCCTCATCCTGTCTGTCTGTCTGTTGTGTTGCCTCTTTATCTCTCTTCAACAGTCTTTTTCTGAACTCATCTGAATAATTGCTAACAAATCCCTCTATAAGACTGTGTCCTCCGTCGAAAAACGTCAAACGGTTGAAGGAAAAGTTGAAATACATTCTGACGTGCAGGAAGCAATCCGCTTTCAAGTGTTAAGACGCTGAGATCACGAAACTTGTGTTGACTAGTTTGTATTCAAACAGATTTCTATTTTGTAAATGAAAATTTTGATGAAAAAAATTGAACGGTAAATCTCTCTCTCTCTCTCTGTCTCTCTCTCTGTCTCTCTATCATACTCTGTTAGACGTCGTTTGACGAAAGAGTGAAGTTGGTGTGATGGTGATGAGAACACAGGAGAAGTTTCGATGAAGGGAGGAATTGGAGGGCGTGACTGTTCATTGATAATTACAAGTTCTTTAATTAATTTCATTTTTATCTCTTTCATGTTTATAGAGTGGAAAGCTTGCATGAGTAAGTCAAATAGGTCAACTGGATGATTTACAATGGAAGAGGGATGATCTTCTGAAAAACATTCAGATCACACGAAAAATGGCTTTTAGATCCGTCATGGACGGATGTATACCGATCTGTCATTTTCAGATGTAGATGTATGTATATCATGAAAGCTATTCTCTCGGTTATCTCTCTCTTACCCTCTTTATCATACTTGTTCTATTCTCTTGTTCACTCCTACAAGCTATGATTATCTGATGCAGATAATGGTAACAGAGGTGCTGCACGTGTGAAGATGAATGAAAGTCAATTCAAGTGAGTAGATGGAAACGACCAATTAACTGTGACGTCACAACTTGAGATGTTCCTTATTTGCATATTTCTTTAATTCGAAAATGAAGAACTCAGGACCTTCTATCAGACTCTTAATGTGTCTCTCTCTCTCTCTTTATCTCACTCTATGTCTTACTCTCTTACTAACCATTGCCATCGCCTCTCTCTCTCTATCACTCTCTCTCTCTCTGTCTACGAAAGAGAAGGGAGCTAACACACGAGAGTTGAATTATTAATGAAATAAGTGAAATGGATATTAGATGGTGATCTATTTGCGCTTCGCAGAATAACCAAAAACATATGAAGAGGTAGAAGGGAAGATCAGACGAAATTGAAGTTAGGTGAAGGCGGTATGGCAGGAGAATTTGAGAACATGTATAGAGAGTGTTTGAAGAGAGCCAGAAGCAGATAGAGAGAGAAAAGGAATAGAGAGTGTGGGGGAGGTCTGAACCTTCAGCAATTATGCTTCTAAAGAATATTAAAATATTTCAGTTACAAGTGACTTTCTAAGGCTTATAGAGAGATGAAGAGAGTCAGATGGATTTAGAGAGGAAAATGAATAAATTACCAAATTATGGAAAGACATACGAAAGAGTCGTTTGTAGTCAGCGATGAAAGGAAACGCCAAAAGTTGAAAAAAAAACAATGAATGAATATCAGAATGGAGAGAGGAATGGTGATATGAGAGAGAGAAGGGCTGAAGGGTTCTATATAGGTAGGGAGGGAGGGAATATGTAGACAGAAGGCTGTGAAGACTTCTGTATGAAGAAAGAGGGAATGAATGGATAGAGAGAGTAGAAGAAGCTGTGAAGACTTCTGTATAAGGATCGAGGAGAGAACTGATACAGAGAGAGAGAGAGAGACATAGAAAGAGAGTTTCAAAAGGACATTCGGGATATTCTAATACACAAGGGTTATTATTCTTTTATTTGAAAGAAAGCTTTTATCTTTGAAGTTTCACACAAACCTTCCGACACAAATCTGGCTGTTTCGATGAAAAATTGAAATTTGGAGATTCGGGATGTAAGCTGAGCGATCGCCCTGTGGCTGCTTCAAACACGAAAATCCCAAAATTCAAATGATTTTTGTTTAATTTCCGAATTCTATACTTCAGGAAGTTGATTTCCTTGCTTTATGAAAATGAATCGTTTTACCGCCCCATAAAAGGTAGGGCAGATGAACAGGAGATTAAGGTAGATGATGCAATTGGAGCTTTGCAGTTTGCTCCAATGAAGAGAAGGGAAGAGTATGTATGAAAGCAAACGAGCAACGATGTCTCCTGACATCCACAATCTGGTGGGTCTTCGTCTGAACGTTGGAAACAAAGTACTATAAACTTAAGATTGATCTTGGGACTTCTTTGAAATTGAAATAGAAGAGAGAATGAGACAAAGGTGAATTGAAGAAACTTTGATTCCTTTTCGGGAACAGACATATGGAGAGAGATAGATAGATAGAGAGAGAGGATGAAAGAGACATTAAAATACAGAGAGATAGAGAGAGAGAGAGAAAATTAGAATAAAGGAGAAGAATAAGCTCAACAACTTGAACATAGAATATCATATCTGGTGAGAGTTGTTATTTCTCTCTCTCTCTCATTCTCTCTTCATGTTTCCATATTCTCTACTCCTTCCTCTTTCTCTCTTTATTTTTATTTTTTTCGCTTCACTGTTTCTCTTTCATTTTATTTCTCTATCATTCTCAATGCTGCTTGATAGAAATCGAGCGAGGGATTAGCAGCCGTAATGATTATAATATCCCCTTGGGCTCTGATGGCATTCCCATATATGTACACACATAAATATATATATATATATATACATACATATATATATATATATATATATATTTGAATATAGACATTATGTGTTCAAAAGGCCGTTGTCACTTGGATTCGCCTCTAACCCTCTTGCTTCATCTGTTCCTTCTACATGTATGTATATATCCATCCATCCACCCCTCCTTTCTCTCTATTTTTACCTCTCCGTGCACTAGCTTGTCGTTCTCCCTCTCTCTCTCACCATCTAAGCTAATCTGGATGTTCATGAGAATCAAGCGTAAATTCTATCGATTTAACAACCAAACTGAGTGTCTCCAATAAAAAAAATAAACTTTAGAGCAGCTTAAATGCTGATTACAATTAACCAGCCGAGCGTGAAATTAAATTTCACTAAAACAAACACACATAGAGAGAGAGAGAGAGAGAGAGAGAGAGGGAGGGAGGGAAACACACAAAGAGTGAAGGGAGGTTGGCTAAGGGGGAGGAGAGAACAAGAAAAACTCCGGAAATATCAAAAGATTACAACAAATAAACAAAACAAAAGATGGAGAATGAGGAGAAGTTGGCCATCTTGCAACAGCCGACTGCGCAAATCGTTCCTTCCTTTCCCTCCTTTCCCTCCTTCCCTCTCTCTCTCTCTCTCCATCTATACACACACACATGCATAGACAGCTCCCTCCCGAGATGGAATTTAAAAACAAATTATGTGCTTAATTTTGAAAATGTTTAAGAAAATGACGAAAGGTGGCAACACGCAATAAGCAAAAGCTTTCTGTTGTTTTTCAAACACTAAAGAAACACGAATTACAATTGGTGTCGATCTGACGTCATTTTTACGTGAAA